TCGCATCGTTGGGAGAAAAAAAGAAGAAAATAGCGGTGCGCTGCAGTTTGCGGTCTGATTGCGGAGTGTCGCGCAGGCAGTTTAGCCGAGTGAATGGGACAAAGAAATAAGAGCGTGAGCGCAGTGTGCACGGCTAGCAAGCGTAGCGGCTGCATCGTCAACAATGTCTTGCAAGAGCAACTCGTGCGTTACTCCTCGTTGACTTCTTCGTCTAGAATTAATGCCTTTATACGTGCGTGATGAGCTTTGCAAGCTCAAGTTAAAGGCAGAAGCTTAAAAATGTTTGACGATGCCTGCAATTGGATGCTTGGTCAAATGTTTGCCATACGTGCTTCCTAATCACGTCACACGATTAAATCAATTGCATTAAATATCTTTGTAATGCATTTTTATTAGCGTTCTAGAGTAATGAAAATTTACTTGGAAAAGTCATTAGACGTCTCCTTTTTTCATTCAATAAATTCCGCAAATAAATTCCAATTAGAGTAAGTGTTTGGCCGATTATTCAATAGGGCGCGGATTTACAAGTATTCAGTGAATATTTCAAATAATCTTTTCTATTTTCACGTCTTTGAGGCTTTGCACGAAGATGTATTTCAAAGCTCGTTAAACTCGAGATGAATGTATATCTCCTTTAAAACATTCAAGGCACGCGACTGTAAGAAAGAAAGGAAGCAGAGAAAAAGGCCACAAATGAAGTACAAGCTTGGCCAAGCTAGTAGTAAACAAACTAGTGCTGCAGTGAATTAAAGCAGTGATGCGAAAGCTCGCTTGCGGTGGAAATGAAATCGGCTGAGAAACTAGAACGAGACTGAAAAAGGTATCAAAGAATTGGCCGTTCGCAGGAACAATCGATAAGAGTGTTCAAGACAAAGGCGGAGGAAAAATAAATGCAGAAACAGGACCAACGGACGTCACGTCGACGCTCAATGGTGGAAATGCTCGGCTTTTGCTGATAGTAAGTGCGTTCGCTGACTCGGCCGGAAAACCCAGCCGACACGTTCCTCTCTCTCTCTCTCTCTCTCTCTCTCTCTCTCTCTCTCTCTCTCTCTCTCTCTCTCTCTCTCTCTCGCCTCCACACTGCAGATAAATAGCAAAAAAAGTTTCCAAGACGAGCTTGGTCGACGTTAAATTTACTTGATATCTAATGGTCTCGGGCGGGATAATCGCACGAATGTGACTTGCTTTGATGATGTTGCTTATGTCTAAAAATGAACATTGGTTAAACTTCTTTGGACAATTTCTTCTATTCTTTTTTCTTTTTACACGTTATCTCTCGTTTTTTTCAACCTACAAAAACTTTCTTGATGTCCTGTGTCCAATTTCAATTCCACTATTTATAAATTTTTTAAAGCAATGCAGTATTCATTTGTTATTCTATGTCAACATTATTTTACCGGTAAAATGCAATATTAACTTTGTAATTAAACATTTTATAAGACTAAGACTACTGAATTTTACTTCTCAATCATCCAGAAGGAAAACAAAAATATTTCTATAGATACGAATAGATGCGCGATGTCACTTGTAAAAAATTTCGCAAAAAGCACTCGTAACAATAGAGTTGAAGTCAACTATATAGCACCTTCCTTTTCAAACGAATAGACAAACAACAGAGAAAAGCCAATTAAGCATCGCATGGCTGATCAGCGTTCTCTCCCACTTTCCGTCCTCGTTCAAACAATACAAGTTGATTCTCAGTCAATTGTTCGAGAATCTGGTTAACATCTGACGAAATTTTCTTGTGAAAGGTCGTGTACCCAGGTGAGTGCTCGACCTTATCTGAACGAGAACAGCTCTGACTGCACGGCTACATACGCGAGTAAGAGTAAAACCACATATATCTCACCAATTTCTGTGTGCTCTGCTGCCATGAGTGAGTGCCAATTGATGCGGGCTCGCTGACGGACTGGCGGATAAGCCAAGCGTATAGACGCCACACACATACCGGATATTTCAAAGAGCTGCCTCTTTCTTTTCCGCTAACGGAAATCGCTCCATTCAAGCTCTCCTGCACATTGTCACGTTTCTTCGATTGTTATGTGCTACAGCTGACGAGTAAAGCCCTGTCAAGCGCTAATTGCCATTCCTCATCATCGTAGTCAGAACAATGAGGGATATTTAATTTCATTATTGCAAGGTGAATATAAACATATTGGTTTATCGATATTAGCATTATTAATGGTGATCATTGATGAATACAATAAAAGCAGATTATTTATAAAATTTACTTGATAACACAACAGATTTGCAAAATTTTCGATAATAAAACAAAATTTTTCGAAAATTTTATGTTGTTAAAATTGTAACACCATTACAAGATCGACATAACGAACAAAAGTACGACAGGTTACGGTTGCCAACAATTATTTCATAAAATAGTGCACCATTTAATAAAAAACTGTAATTGATAAAAAAATTTCAAAATCTTTTTCCCTAGTCACGCCACAGAAAAACAAAAAATCGAAAGTAAAAGAAAGAAAACCATGCCACACAGTGCTTTAACAAAAAAAAAAACAAAAAAAAAAAGAAAAGAAAAAGAGCGGAAGCGCGCAGCACTTTGCTTATCTAAACGTGCATGCACTCGAAAAGCCGAGACAGTAAAAAAAAAGTATGCGCAAAAACTAGATACACAAGCAAATACTTGTAAGCGTCTTTTCGTGCTGATAATCTTTATCGACATGACGTAAAGTTGCCTTGGAGCGATGTAGTATCGTGAGTTATTAAAATCCTGTGGCAATGTGACATTCTCATTCCTTGATTAATAAAGAAACAAAAAAGGAAAAAAGGAGTTTTGAAAAAGGCGCTTTTATTCGCAATTACAAGATGGTTTTAATAGGCGGAACCAGCACCAGCTGTCGGTGGAATTTCTCGTAAACGACCGAAGATATATAACTCGTATGATTTCGAGACCAAAGTCACGGCTTGGCTACGTGATCTTTGAACTCGAGTCTCGAGCGCGTGGTCGCTGAACTAAACACTTTCGCGTAACTTACACAAGTCGTAAACTGCACAGGTAGCGCAGCAAACCAAGCTAACGCGGAGCCAAGCCAAGTTAACCTGACTACTGGATTTATTCGCCTGTTGGCGCTACTATTGACTCTTTGCCAGTTAGTTCGTTCTCACATACTACCGAATGTTTGAAAAATTTGCTGTATCCACCAAATTTAATAAACTGTCTCGGATATACGCCTGTCAATTTTTACAGTCCGTCTGTTTCTCTTTATCAAGTTATTTGCGCTAAATTCAATAATTATTACTCGAGACTACTAAAAACCAAACAATGTCACAAATTCAAACATAAATATACTCAATAAGCCAAGATTTTCTGAATAGCTTACAATGAGGTTAATAAAATAATAAAGCCAAGTCGAATGCGTTTGCCTGTAAATAATTGCTCAAATTTATCTTTCAGCGGAAACATTCAAATGCTTAGTTAACTCTGTAAACAAGCCCGAAAAATCTCTCATAGTGCATTCAGCAGCTCACCGACGGCAAGTAAACAAGACCAAAAGTTGCAATTCATTCAAATTCGATTTGCATTTTATACAAAGAGCAAATTCAAACAGAGACTGAGTACTCAAAGCCAAGTTAACAGATCCGTCTGATAAATATATAAACTTTTGATGCTATACGAGAATTTAGATGCGAATTTCGCCTTTCTCACCTCGTTAACAATGCCACCTATCTTCGTCTTTCCGACGATATCTTCTTCAACGTTCCGTCATAGGTGATCGAAAGCATCTCGCGCCCGTGATCATTACTTGACCGGAACCTCGCTCCCTCACATCATTCCCTTCAATATTCAAACAATCTTCTAATTAATTTCACCTTCGAATCCAACTTCACATCATTATTTTGTAGAAATAAAGACACTTAGTACGAGTTACTTAGCAAAAGAAGTACATATCTTTTCGTCATTAAACTTTCGAGGGCCGGAGAATCAATATATTGATGCTACCCCCGATTGCCACTTTCCCTATGATCAATCAATGATATAAGATACCTTTTATACGAGTTTTCTGGGGACGATATGCCCCTTGAAATCCCGGCCCTCTAAAGGTTAAAATCAACGCGACGGCTCATTTATACGTTCAGCCTGCCCGCATTTGAAATAATTGAAGCATATAAACTCGCGTGGGGTAAACCGCACAGTGAGTGCGCGTCAATGCAATAATAATTCAAGTAGAGGTTTTAAAAAAATTAAAAATCGAATTGTGTTCTCCAATAATTAAAAAACAACTGCTACTTCCATCACTCAGGCAAATGAAAACAGAGAGGAAAAAAAGTATATGCTACTCTTGTATCCTAATAATTATTTAAAGAGAGAAAGAGAAAGAGAGAGAGAGAGTGTATACGAAGTGCAGCTGGTACTTCAGCTTGGTATGGGTGGATGACATTGTAGTTGAAACATCTAGCCAGCTGCATCCATTAGCTAGCTCGCGCTTACGAAATGACTAATCCCACATGAGTAATTGCTTATAACTTTTAACGCAATCATTAATAACAGTTGAATAGGAGGGTCAAACAGGTGCAATTTTTCAAAGCGCAGCTAGATTAAATGCCCGTATCCCGAAAGTGCTCGCTGCTCTCGAATGTGTAGGAAAGGTATACGCGACGGATCAATAATACTGTCGCGCGAAATGATGACTTCAATGACGCAAACGTATACGAACAGTCGAGATTGCAGTTTCGATATTGCATATTTGATAATAAGACAACTGCCGAGAGCGATGTTTCTACAAGCTCATCACTGTAAAAATGTATTCCACTATATGCTTGTATCGTCGATAAAAAAGGAGAATAGTAACTCTCGTTTCCTTATTGGATATAGCTTTAGGGCGGTCGTAATCTTATCGATATAAATTTACTGAAAGGCTGAAAGCAGCGATGAATTATACGAGGAATCTCTCGTGCAGCAAGATAAATGATCTAAGCTTAGAATGTGCTTTCTGCGCTCGAAAAACTTCTCATTCGCATTTTCTGGTCTTATTCGATTGCAGGCAACGTCTTCGTAATAGCGGCGATTGTGATGGAGAGGAACCTTCAGTCGGTGGCCAACTATCTGATTCTCTCGCTAGCCGTAGCCGATCTTCTGGTTGCCTGCCTTGTCATGCCTCTGGGTAAGTGATGCTCACTCTCTGCCGCATTGCACCTCGAGACCGAACAAGCAGGAAATCTCCGCCTGGCTTTCCCGGATCTGGCAATTCTTCTATTATTCAGTTTTCATCTGGGATTATTGTAGCTCGCGTTGCCCTCGGAGCTCCAACAGCAAATTGAATATAAAAGAAATGGCTGCAATCTCGAAAATGTCATGATACCGTATCAGAATGACAGGTTAACATTAAACAATGTCGTATGCAGACTTGTTCGTTAAACCGTTAAACCGAGTAAATTAAGCGATGCAAGCAAGCTGCGAAGAAAAAGGCACAAGTTTTAGTGGCGTATTGTTGGCAGGAGCCGTGTACGAGGTCGCCCACAAGTGGGCGCTCGGGCCTGAGTTATGCGACATGTGGACGAGTAGCGACGTGCTATGCTGCACCGCTTCAATCCTCCATCTCGTAGCCATTGCCCTGGACAGGTGAGTCTTTTCCGTCTTCTTTTTGCCGTTTTTGCCGTTGCCTTGCGAGAAAATCCTTTGCCAAGATTGCCAAGTCGGATAACGCGCACGCAGTGCACAAAAGAATCGATAATTCGACATTGGATATGCATCGTCGGTCGCGCGCTAGCGGACGTGATACACAAGCGTGTTCTCATATCTTTCTTTCACGGTTCATCATCTTCGTTAACGTTTCACGCGCGTATGTGTCGCTCGCTGCTACTCGATCGCATGGCGCTTGCTACTTTGCTGCTTCAGAATATCTATAAGGTGATTGAGAGCGGACGACGGATCAGCGCCTGTTTTGTACGCTCTTGGTGTGTCATAACATTTTTTATTACGTCTTTATGATTTTTACAAATACGATAAATTATTTCCTAATACCGAATATTGAACGGATTAAGTTTCGATTACGCGGTTGATAACATGATTTATTCATAACCCTAGCTAAGCAAACCAAGTTTGTTCAAAACTAATTAAAGCGATATTAATGCAATATCTCTATAAGGCAATACGTACAGCGTTATTTACGTGATCAATCTCGCAAAGAAATATCGGTGCGAGAAAAACCGTTGACATGGTACGCAAAAATATAAGTCAATCACTATGTATAAATATATTCTGCTGTCAAACAATCGACATGTTTTATCGCGATTTAAATCATTGTCCTATCAATAATGCAACTCCCTTCTCTCTCTCTCTCTCTCTCTCTCTCTCTCTCTCTCTCTCTCTCTCTCTCTTCTATGGATATAAATACAAAAAGTCATTCGTATGTTTACCCGCGCACCGAAAAGAAAAAGAAGCTTTTCATTAGTGGCGAGAAAGATCTGAGATAGCGAAGCTTTAGTTTAGACAAAAGCTACTTGTTGTCATCCTATACAGCGCGACAAACGACTCTTATATGTATGTACTCGTAGCATGTATATTGCAAAAGATCCTCGTCGGTAGTCCAGAGAGAGGGAGAGAGAGAGAGAGAGAGAGAGAGAGAGAGAGAGAGGGAGAGAGAGAGAGAGAGAGAGAAAGAGATAGAGACAAAGAAAGAGAAAGAAAACAGAGTATAGAGAGATGCGATATTTCACACGGGGATGCGCGTATTGGAAATTCACGGCTCGTATCTCCCTCGAGCTTTCTTTATTTACAGCGCGTAAGCTTTGAGGCTAGAAAAGATGTATTGACCAATTTGCTATGGGGAAATCAGCAACTTGTATCTACCACATGTAAAGACGCGCGAATATATACTGCACTTTTGATTTTTCGCGCACGTAATATTCTTCTTGATTTTCCTTTTTCTTTTCTTTCCCGGCTTTACGCCAAGAATCCTCTATAAGATTATTTATCGAAGGCCATTATTCTACTGCTGATGAAAGCTGCATTTGGCTTTCTTTCTTCTTCTCTAACTATTCCACAAAAACCTATTAGTTTTTATCGGAATAAACAAACGAAGAATAAGCATTCATCCTCCTGTTTCGCAGTTGTTATATGTTGGTCGACAAACGGATGTGCAGTTTATGTGTGGTTTCTCAATTTCGTTTTTCATATATATTCCTCGTGGTAAACTTTATCAAAACCCGCCGAGTTTCTGTAAACGAAAAAAGATAGATAGAGTATCAGCAGCAGCTGCTTGCGTTTTTTTTCTCTAGTAGCGCCGGCAGCAAAATCACTCGGGCTCGCAAATGATTTGCTGCTCCACTGGGGGAAAAAGGAGTTTACCCGCGAGCTATTTTAGCGCTCAGGTGTCGATATACACACATAGCTCACGTCATCACACTGCAAAGCCCTTTTTTCTTGTCTTTCTCTTTGCAAGCTTCGAGGAACATCGAACAAAGGATCGCACTCGCCTATACCTTCCATCCAAAGATGCAACTTGATAAAACTTGTAGATACTGTTGGCAAGCTTGCCTGTCTTTATTAACGCTGAATAGTTTTAACTAGCGCTCATTGGCTATTGACTTACTTTCCACTTTGGCTTTCAAGTTTTTCTTCATCTTATCAGCAATTTCAATTTGCGCACTTTATAATAAAAAAAGGAATCTTTATCTCTAACGACTTATTTAAAGATTAGGTACTTAAAAAATTTGGAAGAAATAAATCTATAAGGTATAGAAAATAATAATCACTGTATCAAATCTGCACTGGCAAGTAAAAGACTATACGCAAGGCGAAGATTAATCTCGGCAGAATGTGCATAATTTACGACGAACGGGCAAGATTGCTTCACCATCCTTATAACGCATAACAGATAGACGCTACTCTTGTGCGTCTATCTTGTCGCGAGCTCACCGTAACTGCTAAGCTCGCTGCGTTACTTGTACATTCGCTTAGTTTTATTACGTAGGATAAGATGAGCTTACAAAGAAGTAATGCTTGCAAATAATTTGCAAAATAAACTTATAATCTCCAAAATAGTCCGAATGGTTCTCGAGAAAAACTAGCCGTAAAATTAAATTCAAGTTGGTACAAGACATACACCAAAATAAAGAGCAATTAGTACATGCGCACAGAAAAATAAGTAAGATAGCCAACGCGTATTCCAAGAACTTGCGCAATAAGAAATTTCGTGCGTTGCAAAGACGCGCCTTTGATTTTCCTCAAGAAAGTTGAACGTGGAAAATAGCAGTTGTGCGAGTGTGCATGTATACAAGACAAAAAGTTGTGGGATGGTAGTCCGCTGGTACGCACGTTAACATAAATCTCGTTTAGCGTCGGGGCGCGTAAATTCAAACAGATGCTTGCTTATGGAATAAAAAAAGCTACGTACTCCCACGAGCAGCGAGCTTCATTATCCAGTCGTAGACTTTTTTCTCGACCTAAGAACTCGCGCGTGACACCTTAATTACGTAATTACTCTGCGTCTGGGCACTAATTATTATCGCCCCCTCCCCCTCGCCCCACCCAATTTCTTTCCGACGGCAATTACAGTTACATTTTACCGAGCGACAAAGTCAAACTACAAATTCGTTATTAACAAGCGACAGTTAATAGCAGTTTGACCTGACTGCATTAAAGAGAAAAATAACACGCCATTTGTGTTCCATTCGTACGCGATGGGTATCAGATTTTCAGGACAAATATGATAAATATTGTAGTAGTTCTATTAGATCTGGATGTGTTTAATTTACAAATCACAAGTCATGATCAAGTAAAATTATTTCAGGTTTAGGTTTTAACGACATAAAAACGGGAATACTCGGTATTTATCTGGCATAAAAAAATCCTGTCGAGAAAATAGCCTTTGAAATACTAGTTCAGATAGATTTACAAGTTTATTTACAACAAGAGACTAAGTGCAATTAATGAAGAACAGAAACGAGAACAATTATAATATAATACTAAATGACGCGGCTGTCAAGAGATCTCGTACACAATTTTAGCAAAGAAAGGCGCTCAATGGCTGTACAAAATAGCGCTGTTAAATTGCCATTCAAAGAGAATATTCGTTTACTAGCTTGATGCCAACTCAGTGATACGATGATCCAGAAGGGAGGTATTGCAACGCAAGAACAGGTACATAACAGCTCCGACGTCACGGGCAAAATACTGTGATGCAGCTTGATTTGCCAATCTGTTGGACTCAGTCATTAGTACCTTACAGATGCATTGCATTGCTGAATACCCTGAGATACTTTGCAAGAAAAACTCGTGTATACACGGCCGATTTCCACGCTGTCTTATACAAACACCCACGAGAGATGACGAGCCACACAATCAGATAATCCACACTCAAGATCGTAGAAAAAGAGAAAGAGAGATAATTAAAACCTTTGATAGGCAGCCAGAGTAAATCGTACTGTTCACTGTCCTCGAAAACACTGGCTCGTATTACTCGTTTGTTTTCCAACAACCCGTGGAATCAGTTCCCTACCCCTTTTGGGTCCTCTCAAACGGACCGATGAAGGTTGCAGAAGTAAAGGTATTATTCAGTATAGACGCTCTTTCTCGCATCATAGTCACCGGTCGACAAGAATTATTTTTCTTAATTACCGGACGTCGAGGCAGTCCCGCCGCAAGGCTGTCAAATACGTGCACGATTTTAAAGATTGCCGGGACTGATGCGCATCCCCCGTTGACGGTTTACTTATTTCGTATGCTCGTGAAGGAACTGTATTAAGCAGCAAATAAGTGAACTCGCATTCTCCCCTCCTCTCTCTCTCTTTCTCTCTCTCGGAGCGCATATGCCGCGTATACGCCTCATAAACCCATAACAGCTACATTGTAGTCTAATGCGCGAGCGAGCGAGCGACAAGCTTTTACCGATATACATAATACATGACGCCAATTTATAAGCGAATCCGTATTATAGTAGCGGCTGTAGGCGACGTCGGTTGCCAAGCTTTGTGCGCGAGTAAATGCATCCTCCAATAATCCGTAAAAGCAAGTTAAATTGTCCGACGAAACGCAAAAAAAAACAGAATTGATTCAACTCCCTGCTTGTTCTTTGTTGACAGTTCTAGTACGGAAATTTTACATCTTGACGTAGATACGTCTTTATAACGCGCTTTACAACGTTACCCGTTCTGACCTACTTACAGTCACGCTCTTTCTTACATGTTCCTTAAAATCCAGATCGATGGTGTCTCTCTTTTATAATGCTACTGTCCTACTGTTCACCGCTAAATGCCGTCTAATGTTTGAACATCGATAGTACACCAAAAAATACTTGATGCAATCTGTTAAACAATAAAATTGAAAGCATCATTTTTAACAACACTAATTTAATACATTAGTGCTAGTAAGACCATTCGAAAGATTAATCTTTCAATTACGTTAATAGCCATCGATCACACGTACGTAAGCCAGATTTTACTTGACTTTGTAAATGTCTAGCACAGCGCAAAATTTCAAGTAGATCATTGTATCGAGCAAACTGAAGCAATTAACTCAAGTACTTGGCAAGAACAGCCAAAACACAATGCTCTCGAAAGCGATCGCTTACTTTCAATTAAACGACCTCTTACAACCTCGCGTGACTAATTTTTCATTCT